TAGTAGTAGTAGTAGTAGTAGTAGTAGTAGTAGTAGTGGCAGTAGTCGTATCACTAGTAGTACTATTTGTAGTAGTAGTAGTAGTAGTAGTCCTAGTAGTAGTCGGTAGTAGTAGTAGTAGTAGTAGTAGTAGTAGTAGTAGTAGTAGTAGTCGTAGTAGTAGTAGTAGTAGTAGTAGTAGTAGTAGTAGTAGTAGCCGTAGTAGGCGTATAAGTCGTACTAGTCGTAGTCGTAGTCGTAGTCGTAGGCGTTGTCGTATTCGTAGTAGCAGTCGCAGTGGTAGGTGTAGTGTCGTAGTCGTAGTCGTAGTCGCAGTTGTGGGGCGCGCCGGGGCGCACAAGGTTCAGGAGGGGAAAAAAACACACAGACACAATTAATCGTCGATTCCCAGGAAAATATGGGAAAATATGGGAAGTGGGGGGGAAGACAGAAGCCCCAAACATATAGGAAAATATGGGGAATCTTTTTATTTGTGTGTATTTATTTGTGTGTTCTGGGGCCCCTTCAAAGGTGTGTCTCAGTCCGGGGCTGTCGCTGGAGCCATCCTCGCAGAAGTCGGCCCTGGCGTGCCTCCCAGTCTGGGGCTCCCGCTCGAGACACGCTCGCAGAGTCGCCAGAGCGCCCCCCGAGGGAGGCCCCCCCCTCCTCCCTCCTCCCTCCTCCCTCCTCCCTCCTCCCTCCTCCCTCCGCCCTCCTCCCTCCTGAGGACGATGATGAGGGAGGAAAACGTAGGAGGTCGGAGGACGGGATGAGGAGGGAGGAGGGGAGGAGGAGGAGGAGTAGCAAGAGAAGGGGGAGGAGGAGGGGGAGGACGATGAGGAGGAGAGTTGGAGGAGGGGATGGAGGAGGAGGCGGGGGAGCAGGAGGACCTTCACTTTCCTGATCCTCACCCTCGCGAAAACCGCCCTCCTGATCCTCACCCTCCTCATCCTTGCCCGCGGCACCAGCGCCTTCCGCTCATTCTCCTCTCGCCCACAATCGCACGCCCCTTCTCCCATGTACAGGAGCTCCCGACCAACCGAAGAGCGGCCGACTGGTAGGCGTAGTCGGCGGCGGCTGGGCGAAAGCCCGGAAACCGAAAAACCAACCAGCACGCGTGCGCGGCGCCGAGAGGCGACGGGCAGCGACCGCGCCACAACCCTGGAAACCTCGCCAGAAAACGATTCGGCGACGGGCGGGGACGAGGCGAGCCCCCAGAAAATCCATTCAGCATGTGAGGCGGCGACGAGGCGACGATGGGCGGCGATATGGCGAAAAGCAGGGAAACCTACAGAGTAGAAGTGAGAGCACCTTTGTACAAGCAGTGTTTTGGGACATCTTGCCATCGTCCTTACCGAACGGTATGATCGAGTGATCTCGAGCCACTACGCTCTGCTTGGTATGGTCGGCTTGTAGTCGACGTGGTAGTATCTGCAGTCTTGGCCGCACTCAGGTCACACGATCGACCGCTCGGATCGTCCAGTGAGTGGCCCCTCCTTCTGCAGCCCCCTATTCTACTCGGTTGTTCAAACATGTGGTCCTGGGGGATGCGGGCCTAAGGATAGGAAGGGATCCAAGGGTGGATTTGCGCTGCTGGAGGCGCCTCGTCCCTAGGACCCCATCCTTCAGGACCCCGTCTTTGAACCACCGATCTACGCCCCGGCATTCCCAGACTTCGGAGGAGGAGGAGGAGGAGGAGGAGGAGGAGGAGGAGGAGGAGGAGGAGGAGAAGGGGGAGGAGGAGGAGGAGGAGGAGGAGGAGGAGGAGGAGGAGGAGGAGGAGGAGGAGGAGGGAGGAGGAGGAGGAGGAGGAGGGGGAGGAGGAGGAGGAGGAGGACGAGGGGGAGGAGGAGGAGGAGGAGGAGGAGGACTTTGTCGAGACTTCTGGCTTCTTTCCAGACGTCCTGCGTTCTCCTTCTCTCGACGCGTGCGCCCCCCAGCTCCCGCGCCCCCTCACATCCAGGCCGGGGCCGGCTTCTCCTCCAGAGCGAAGGATTGCAAAAAAACCTTTTGAACGAAGGACTGCAACAAAAACCCTTGTACGACGGATTGCAAAAAAAAACCAAGGGTTGCCAAAAAACCCCGACGAGGGTTTTTGTTGCAACCTTTTGACGAAGGGCTTTTTACAATCTTTTGTCGATGCCCTTGAGAGGCCTCCTGAAGCCCACGGTGATACTCTCCGAGCTTTTTAGTACGCGTCGGGGGGGCGTCACTCCCGCCAGCAGCCCCGCAACGGCCCCCGTCGCGGGCAGCCACCGCGCGCCGAAGGCGCTCCGACCCCTGTCGCGGCGCGACGACGAGGCGAGGTTGACCGTCGGGGGGTGGGGTACCCCCCACGCTTATGCAGAAACCCAGATTAAGCATCCGAACCAGTTTGATAAAAAGCAAGTGTGATAAAACAAGTGTGATCAGACAATGAGGTGTGATATAGCTTGCTTATCACACTTGTATATCACGCTTGTTTTTTTATCGCACCTGTTCGGACCGTCGGGGGGTACCCCCCCCGCCGATGCCGAAACCCAGATTAAGCATCTGGCCGTCTCGACCTCTCTCAGCCGCCGTTTTTTTTTCGGCTCCTGATGGAGCTGGACTCCCCAGCCTGCGCAGGAGCTGCGACAGGCTCGTGTCGTGCCGGCTCGGCGACGACCTGCGCCGCGGGCGTTCGAGTTTGAACGCCGCCAGCGGCCACTCGTCCATCATTGAGCGATCTTCGGGAGGGGAAAAAGCACAAAGACAAAATTCATCGTCGACTCCTAGAAGAAAAGTGTGGGGAAATATGGGGAGTGAAGGGGGGGGAAGACGAACACCTCGAATAATGTGGAGCATATGAGGAATCCTGGGATTTGTGTGTATTTTTTCTTGGTGCGTCCCCGGGCCCCTGTCGATCTGCCTGTCGGAGCGCCCCGACCGATCCAGGTTGAACGATCCACGGGGTGCCGGGAACCAACGTTTATACAGAAGAAGCCCATGCCAAGAAGCACCCTGCTTGCCTCCAGGGTGCCCCGGATTTCTTGAGCTTCGATGGTTCTACGATGGACAGCGTGACGTCCCCATACCAAAAATTCAATGGGCATCCCGGGTTCTCAGGGTTGGGTTTCTTGTGGGAGGTTTTTTGTGGTCGAGCTCCTACTGTATATCGGCACGACACGAACTTGCCGTGTGGACACGCTGTCTTTCGACGGGCCGGCGGGCTGCTGCAGGCGTGGTGAGGATGCGCCCGGCGCCTTCCCGGAAACTGCTCTCGCCCCGTCCCAGAAATCCGACGTTCCAACAAAAATTGGAGGAGGCGGTTTTTGGCCGTTTTCGGCCCCTGGCGGCCCTCGCTGGGCCTGGGGAGTGTAAAAAAACGATTCAGGACGAAAAACCGGCCCTGGGAAAGTGGTCCGGACCTCCGGGACCCACGCATCGAAAAGATTGGAGCAGCCGGATGTTTGGGGTTCTCTCACCCAGTGTTCTCCTGATTTCAACCCATGCCGTAGGATTCAACTCTTGGGAGGTCAAGCTCAGCATCGGCGCTGGTATATCCGTGGTCGAAGGCCCGCCTAGTCTGGCAGAGTCCCGTGCAATCCGGCCTACTGAGATGACCACCCTCTTTGGTTATTGTTTGTCGTTGATCTAAGAGGATCGGCCACTTAGGGTAGGTTGCGCATCTTGGTTACAACGCTTGTCATCTTGGTCATAACCATGGTTATAACCACTGGTAACTAGGACAACTAACCAGGTTATGGGGCGTCTGCTAACCTGGTTAGTTAAGCGGCCTAACCCAGTTTGCGAGGCCCCCTTTGTGAGGATTCCGCGTGAAGATCTCGCTGCCAAACCTGCAACTGTCGAAACCACCCGTGGCAAAACCAGGCTCAGAAATCAAGGAAGAGGGCCACCTCCTCTTTCTCTTCCTCTTCTTCCTCCTCCTCCTCCTCTTCCTCATCCTCTCCTCGAAGATCCTCATCCTCAGCCTCTAACCGATCGACGTCCTCCTCCTCCTCCTCCTCTTCCTCCTCCTCCTCCTCCTCCTTCTCCTCCTCCTCCTCCTCCTCCCCCTTCGTATTCGTCTTCGTCGCCGCCCTCCTTCTCCTGTATCCTCCCTTGCTGCTCCCTTTGCTGCTCCTGAAGCTGATGCCCTCTCCTGCTACAGTTCCTTCCTCAGTTCCTTCTCCTTGCATCCGAGAGTGTCTTCGAGGAATGGCCGCATGCCCCTTCCCTCAGCAGAAGAAAGGGGAGGGCAGGAAGAGGAGGAGGAGGAGGAGGAGGGAGGAGGGAGGAGGGGGGAGGAGGAGGAGGAGGAGGAGGAGGAGGAGGAGGAGGAGGAGGAGGAGGAGGAGGGAGGAGCAGGAGAGGGAGGGCGGAGGAGGAGGAGGAGGAGGAGGAGGAGGAGGAGGAGGAGTAGAGGAGGAGGATGTGCATGGGGGGAGGAGCAGCAGCCTCAGCAGCCTCAGCAGCAGCAGGAGCAGCAGGAACTGAAGTAGCCATTACTCTTAATGGCCTACGTTGCCAGCGTCGAGGCTCAATGACCACCTGCAGCTCTGTGCTTAAGCTTGTGCGGGTAAAGCAGCGTAGAGATTCTGCCTGTCTCTGCAGGCCAATACGCATAAGGCTCTAGGATGCAAGACGATGCATGGACAGCAGGAGCCTTGCGCACCCTGCACTTCGCAACACTGTCATCGAACTCAAT